GCATGTATAACAAACATCTTCTATTAACGAAACTTTTCATAATATAAATATGAAGATCCAGCCAAACCGAAAAAGTTTGGTTTGGTTTGGTTTGGTTTCGGTTCGGTTCAAAGAGTAAACCGAAACCAAACCGAACCGAACCGAAATTTTTCGGTTTGACTTTTTATAGACCGAAACCGAACCGAACCGAAACCGAACCGAAATTTTTCGGTTTGAACCGAACCGTTCGGAGCTTTAGCTGTATGTAAAGAGTATTTATGTTGAAATGGTATGAAATCCTCTGAAGAAATATAGTTTTTATCTTTATCTTTATCTTTGCTTTTGACTTTGCCTTTGGCTTTTTTATCATTTTTTTCACTAGTCAAATTTTTTTTTTTTTACTGGTTCTAAATCATCCAAAAAAAAATCAGGTTCTACTAAAAAATCATTTAACCGTTCTTCATGAATAACCCGACAGGTGAAAAAATCATCATCATCCTCACATTGTATTGAATTTTCATTAGCAAGAGACATGTCCAGAAAGAAAAATTCATTAATTAGGATTAAAAAAAATAAGGGAACATTTTTTTGAAAAAAAATTCCTTTTTATAGAAAATGAGACTGCATTCATTTTTTATAAAAATTTTTTTTTTTTTAAAAAAAATTATTCTTCAGAAAAATGATCGGCAAAAGGGTTTTTTACTTTTTCTTTTCACCATCACAAGGATTTGTCATGATGTCATTATGGTCAGATGATTTAAAACTAAGTTTAAAAATTTCCAAAAAGGCAAGAAATAAGAAAATCAAAAAATTCTGGTGCACAAACTAAAATTAAAGTATTTTTACTTGAGGTAATGTGATTTCGAAAAGTTCGCAGGTAAATTTTTCTGCAAGAACATCGAAGGGATAATATATATTAATAAAACATCTTCCAGATTTTCATGTATAATGCAACATTATGTATTCTTTGAGTTGGCCATAATATATAAAAGGGCAGAAATAACCTTGATGATGTTTTATGTAAATTAACTTCAAATTGTTTGAGCTTTGTTTTTTAAAATAATCAATTAATTAAAGTTGGAATTAAGATTGAATATACTCATCCTAATCACAAATTACCTTTCATTTTGCAAGAAAAACCTACATATATGTGTGTGTATGTTATGGCCTTTATTATTTGTTATTGTTTCTAAAAATATTTGGTTGCATTTTGGAAAGTTGGACAGAATGACTGGGTTTCAACAATAACATGCTAAATGTAAATGAATTCCATGAAGGTGTAAAGTACATTTTTAAAAAATAATTAAAAATCAATAATTTTTTTGTAATTTTTATTGTAATTATTAAAAATAAATATTTTTGTTTATTTTATTAACGAAATATTGATGGCTTACATTATTAATCCTAGGATTTGTGTCCACAAATTGCCTAAAAATAGTATGATGTTATCATCAATTTTTATAATAAAATATTATTTCTACAATATAAAGTGCATGTTGTAATATTTGACAATTTGTTGGTAGGTCATCCTGATAAAATTGATTTATTAACTTGGTGGAAAGGGAACTTTGGAGCTGTAACACCTGAATTAACATAAGAATTTTTTAATTCTTAGATCGTCTGCTACATCCAAGGAAAATTGTCTGCGCTCTCCTACATACATGATTGAAAAATGGCCGTTCTTTCGGATTAA